CTCTTATATGTAATTTAATTTTTTTCTTATCACAAACTATTCTTTATGGGTTTTAAAACCACCAAGGGCTTAAATTTTCAGTAAACAAAGGTACGCAGTTTAAAACTCAATTAAAAACCAACAGAAGCTACTTATTAGCTAATATGTACGGTGAAAGAAGCTGCTGAACCCACACTCCTAGCATCTCAGTCTGAGTCCAGTCACATCTCTGACTCAGGATGGCTCTGACCCTGGAGCAGGCAGCGGCATCTCTGAGGGTGTTGAATCAAGGAGGAAGGGGGTTCCATGCACAAACAATTACCTTCTGAGAGTCAGAGCCAAAGAGCTGGGAAGCATGACAGCCCCAGCCTTGGACAGCACAAACGCTGAGTTAGGTCGTCACTCAGAGGCTGGCTGTCACCAAAGTGCAGTCACTCCCTGCAAAGCGAAACAGCTGAGTGAGAGCAACCCTATCCGTGCCCTAGAGACTTAATGAAATGACTGTCCTAGAAACAGTAAGAGACACTTGGGTCAAGATAAAATCAAACTTATGATTACCAGGAGGGAAGGGGGGGATAAACTCGGAGACTAGAATTGACACATCCACACAACTGTATGTAAGATAGAGAACTGTTATTAACAAGAACCTTTTGTATGGCACAGGGGACTCTACTCAGTACTCCGCAATGACCTGTGTGAGAAAAGAATCAAGAATGTATACATGTATATGTACGACTGATCCTCTCTGCCATACACCTAAAACGGAACTCTGCAAATCAACTATACGCCAATAAAAAATTAATTTAAAAAACATAAAATTGGGGGAACAGACATCCTAGTTTTTGAATTAAAATAACAAAAAATTTAAAATACCAAAAAAACTGAAATCCTACAAAATGTCAAAATTAAGAACAAACAAAAAGGACTATCTTCTAAGAGGATCAGGGAGGAAGGAAGACAGTCAGCCATGTCATTAGAAAGGATTTCCATTAATCATAACACTGATGGTTCCAGCCTGAGAAGCAACTCTTCCCACGAGATTTGCCCTCTGAAGGACCTGGCTCCACCCAGGAACCCTGGGTTCAAGCACCAAGTACATCAGCAGCCCAGCCAGTCTTTCCTAATGGAGGTGCCTTTCTGTGTGTGATCAAGTTGAGTGTTCTGTTAGGAAACATGGTGGAAGGTAACACAGCACACCCTGGACTGTTCAACTTTCTCATGTAAAGCACAGAACACAGCCATGCTGTTTCGGAAGACCCAAGTTAACTATCCCCCTTATAAGCCTGTACCCCAGGAACAATCACCATATCATTAACGATTCTTTTTCTTTCAAGATATGTGGAATTAGTGATAGGTGACAGTTACCTATAGCTTTCAAGTCAGTTTTACCATCTAGGTGTCCCTCTGTCTAGAAAACAAATTATACCTGTTGCAACAGCAACGGGAATACAGTGATTTACAAATTGCTGTGGGAAAAAAAATCTCTTTCTCATCAAACAATAGGCTTGACTCCTCTTTCAGTGTCTCCTTCAGACCAGACTTTCTCAGAACCTGCCTCACAGGAGCTAGCAGAGGGCTTAATGTTAGCTGCCACAGCCCACCTTTTTGGCTCATGGAAAGAAGTAATAGGTTAAAACACCACCTCCACTCCTGTTGAGGCATTTGCTTGGCTGTACCCACAGAGCTGGGTTGCCACAAGGAATTAAAAAGAGGGGAGCTAATCAAGGAATGACTATGGTGGCTACTCCATTTCTTCTAAGGGATTCCTGCCCATAGTAGTAGATATAATGATCATCTGAGTTAAATTCACTCATTCCA